AGCTGGGCTGCTCTCCAGAGACCATGAGGAAAGAAACATGCACCAGGAGGTTGGGCAGATTCCCACTCTGGACCTACTTAACTTGGTTTGGGGGTCATGGGTCCTATGGGGAGTCATGGGTACTACAGGTTTTAGTAAAGGGTGGGCTTGGGCCAAATCAGGTGATGCCTGCCTCAGGCCGGGGCTATCTGGGAGAAGTCAAGCATCCAGCAGGAGCCACTGGCTCCAGCTAAGGGGACAAAACGCAGAAAGAACTGAAGAGGCTCTGTGGAGCAGGGGAAGGGGATCTCTCAGAACCCCAGGAAGGCAGCTGGGTGAAAACCAAGAGGCAAGTGAGCTGGGGGTTGTGTGGGATGGAAACCAACCCACACCCACCGAGGTAACATGTAGGCAAAACAGTGACTCCACCCTAGAGGCCTCTCTGATTCCTGGATGAGTGGAGCCTTCTTGGAGCATGATGGGAATGTGTAGCTCTCTGATGCTTTGTCCACTAACCTCCAAGAGGTTCCTAGGCACAGGTGGGTAGGCACCTCCATGTCATCCAGCTCAAACTGGCTTGAACAGAACTGACCCGCAGTTGAAAGAGGTCAGGCATGGATGAGCTTCCAGTTAGGCAGAGGCCAAGGACCCAGGCTTGCATTTCTGGCTGCCTCCCCTCAGGCTTTATCTTACCTAGCATCAGCACCAGGATGCCCCTGAAATTCTGATGGCTGTCCCTTCAGAAGGTTCTCCCCACCCATCACTCCCATCTCTTCTCATGGACCTGAACTTAGCTAACCTCTGACTTCATCCCTTTAGCCAGGGAAGAAGATTCTTCGTGTATTAGTTACTTCTCTCGTTGCTGCAGACAAACTCCCCGACAACAGCTCTTCAAGGAAAGGTTTGGTTTGGGCTCCAAGTTTGAGATTATAGTTCATCACGTCGGGGAAAGCACGATAGCAGGAACACAGACATGCAGTCACATTGTGTCCAGTCAAGGAGCCAAAACAGAAGACAGCTGATGCTCAGCTTGTTATTTCTCCTCTTTATTCATCCCAGGATCCCCAGCCCCTGAAATGGTGCTGTCTATATTTAGGGTGGGACTTCCCACCTCAAATCTAATCTAGAAACTTCCTCATAGACATGTCCACATGTTTGTCTCCTAGGTGATCCTAGATTCTGGAAGATTGATCATGTTAACTCTCATGAGTCATATACCCTAGGACCTGATACAGGGTTTACTCCATCGCAGTTGCCAGGACGGAGAGGAAGGAAAAATCCTGTCACAGCTGCTAGAAGAACGGGGAGCAGACTAGAGTTGGATGAAACAATGGGTTCTGATCCCCTGTGGCCTTTGCACATGATGAGAGCCGTTCACAGAATGGTCCAGCAGAGGCATGGCAGTAATTCCCAAGAGGCATGACTGTCACCTCTGATATGGGGAATCAGGGTTCTGGGAGAAACGAGCAACAGTAAGAGAGACAGAAGAAGGTGACAGCCATGCATGGGAACCAGGGTTGTGGCTGTGATGGTATCCAGAAGAAGAGAGATGCTATCAAGGACACGGGGTGAAGAAGAAAGATGGGGTTCATTCATAAAACTGGCCACACACACACACAAACACACACACACACAAACACACACACACACACACACACACACACACACACACACACCCTTCATCCAGTGAGGTGTGAACGGAGAGAAAAAGGCAAGGCCCAGAGTTGCAGAGAGCAGGGCAAAGGCACAAAACAGAAAACCACAGAACATTCCTGAAGAACAGCCCAGACTGCACACATAGGCTTTCCTAGACTCTCCACACTAGAACCCAGGCTTTCCTACATTTATAGCTATCGTGTGACAAAACTGTCCCTAGGGAGACACAACACATGTGTTTATTCACCGCAGATAACGGAACTCACGACAGACCAAGGTATAGAAACCACCAAAGTCCAATTTGGTGAAGCAAGGAGTTTTATTGGGGTTACTTACAGGAGCATAGGTGAGGGGTTACTTACAGGACCAGAAATGACTCAACCACAGCTGCATCACCCACCCCAGCATTGGAGACAGCTCACAAAGCTGGGAGCCTGGAGTACACTGCACTGTCTGCAGGCAGCTCCACAGGTTGGAGAATGTCCTTTCCTAGTGCCTCAGCTGGTCTAAACCTCCTCCAGACAACTTGCCTGGTCTCAGGGTCTTCTTTGTACTTGAGCTTCCTTCTGTCTTCCAGCTTTTACTGCTTACTCTGGCAGGGAGGGACAGGGAGGGGGCCTAGTGAATCTCATCAGTTTCAGGGACTTCCTGGAGCTCCTTTGAGTTGTTTACCTTCCTGTTTAAGAAGCTTCTCTGTAGGATAGAATGTTTCAATCTGAGGCCCGTGTTGCAGATCAAAGTCAAGTTCTTTGGTTTGCATTGGAGCTCCCCCCTCTTGTTGCAGACCAGAAATTCCTAAGGATTTTTCTGGACCACCACATCCCTGCTCTATTGCCTAGACATCCCTGCCGGCGGCCCTCCTTTGGCCTCTCTCCATTCATGGCTTTCCACTGCCTTGCCCTTTGTTTCAGCTGGGTGTGGACATGGCTTAGCATCCTTATAGCTCTGAATTCCTAGATCCTAGGGTCTCAAACTAAGCCAAATTTTGCAGCAATATTGATCAGAAGGGCGATACCTAACATGAAAACAAAATATCCAGAGGAAGAAATTGAAAACAGTGCAGAAAAGATAAGTAACAAAGGCTGGATTGTTGCAAGTGTCTTCCAGAAGTTGAGAGGTCGAGGCTATCTGCCATCATCTTGTCCTTCTGGATCTAATTTGTTCTGATTCTGTAGATGGGATGGGGCAGAGGTAAACTTGTGTCAGCTGGTACCAGCAGCCTTGACTTCCTATGAGATGCAGTTTTATTGAGTGCATACTGTGTGTAGTGGTGCATGCCTTTAATCTCAGCACTCAGGAGGCAGAGGCTGGTGGATCTCTGCGAGTCTGAGGCCAGCCTGGTCTGCAAAGTGAGTTCCAGGACAGTCAAGGCGGTTATACAGAGAAACCCTGTCTCAAGCCCCTCTCCCCCTACAAATTCACCTCTTCATTAAAGTCCTCTCAAAAAAGCTAGATCCTTTATCATAAACCAATTCTATTTAGTTATTTAATTAGTTTTTCTTTGGAACATAATCTCATACTGCCCTCGAACTCGTCATGTAGTCCAGAATGACCTTGAATTTGCCATCCTCCAATTTCTATTTCCCAAGTGCCGGGATGACAGACATATGTCACTACACTTGTTTTATTTTAAACCCATTGTTAGAAAATGGTGCTTTTTGGTTGGGTTTTTTGTTTGTTTGCTTTGTTTTTTGACTTTATGGGGTCTCTCAGAGCATTGGGTTTGGACATTTTATCCCCCATTGCTGGGCTCAGCTACCATGACACTCTGAGCCTTGAAACTCCAATCTCAGCAATGCTGCAGCCCTGTCGGTCTTCAGTTTTGCTGCCTTAGCTCAGCGACATGAACGCCCCGGGTTGGTGCCTTGTAACAGACTAACCTGAGCAGGGCATAGAGAAGCCTCAAGCAGTTCCAGAGAACATCCCATCTGGAAAACTCTCCAGCGCCCCTTAGTGGTCTTTAATGCTGCTGTCTTCTCAGGCATTTGTACTGGGGGCAGACGTCCCTTGACCTGGAGGAGGGCCCACAGGCCTGCTTGTTAATGAGGCACATCAAGGAAATGCTGACACAGGGACTTCCTGGCCACCAGCCCTGTCTGCTGCACTGCTTCCTAGAACTCTAGTTCTCCGTGGTGGCTAACTACCTAGCAGTCAGCCTTACATTCATTAATGTGAGTACAGTATTACAAGCTCCCATCTGTTCGCAGATGTGCACTGCATACTAATGTATGCATTATATATTAAATAGGCAAATGTGAAGTGTGCCCTGTTACTAGGAAAGGGCACCCACCCCAACACCCCTGTCACCTCCACTTCCATTTCACAGTTCAAGGGCCAGCCTCCCTTCCCCCGCCTGATGCTCCAGAAAGCTCAATGCCACCACCTCATTTGCAGCAATGTCTACAGGCACAAGGAAATGAGAACTCTAGTGACAGAAGTCACTTACGGGGAGGGGGTGAGAAAAGAGGAAAATTCCAAATGCAGAATGCCCAATGGCCACCAGCTCTAGCACTTCTACAGAAGAGGAAGCTACGCAGGCCAGATGGGGTTAGCTCTAAGAGGGATGGGGAAAGATGGGGGCGTGTGTGTGGTAATTACCCCTCTTTGATGGCTTGGACTTATAGGTAGTCAGGTATGGGTCTCTGATTAACAGAGATAAGAAAGGGGAAACACCTTCCCTGTCAGACCTCTTAGAATAAACCTGGGCGCGTGCGGCGGGGGAAGGGGGGAGTGGGGCACCCCGGATAAATTTCTGTTCTGTAGCTTGGTCCTGAATATTGCTGCCCCAGAGCGCTGATTTTTTTTTCCACTCTGGAGTGAATCTGTGACTGGTGTCGTGGTCCCACCAGAGACACCTGCAAAGAGAAGGGCCCTGGGTGGGGATGGATGAGGGACAGACTGTCTGATGCAGATCCCCCATCTCAAGACATACAGAACCATGCGGGCGCCCTGACAGTGACTGGATAGGTTGCCGGGAGGGTCCCGAATCCTTGGGAAAGCGAGGTGCTGTGATGCCAGGTCTTGGGTGTCAGGAGGGTCGAGATGTTCTGGGATGCCGGTCCCTGTGACTTTGAGGAAGACGCCCCAGGTCTTGAGTGTAAATGTAGGGGAGCGCAACCCCGCAACCCCTGCTCCACTCCACTCTACTCCACACCCCTCCCCGCCTATAAATAACCCCAAGTGTCACTTCAAAGGGCACCGGGAGCACAGGACAGGGGCTACCGGGGTCGGCGGGCCCCACACACCACGCCCCCGACCCCGGGCGACTTTGCATAAATAAACAAACCCCAGCCGCGGCCCCGCAGGAGGCGGAGGAGGAGCGGGAGGAGGGCGAGGGAGGGGCGCGGGAGATTAGTTTGGGAAGTAGCGCCCGGCGCTCATCCGATCCGCGCGGCCGCGCCGGCTGTGTCAAGTTACAGAGGCGCCGGAATCGGCCCCAGCACGGCTCACTGCGGCCACGACCCACTTCTGCCCATGGGGCCCTGTATGCGCGCCCCTTCGCCTGGGGACTGACACCCGCTCGCCCCAGAGACTCGAGACACCTAGTAGGACCCCGAGCGTCGCACCAGTCCGAAGATTCTGCAGAGGCGAAAGGGGAAAGAGCGGGGAAACGGGGGCCAGATTCACCCAACCTGAAACATTCTTCGAAGTAACTTTTTCCTATTTTGGCGTACCCCAGTTGCGCCTCGGGTGGCTCTCGGCTGTCCCCCACTCCGACTGCTCATTTTCTGTCCTTTTTGGAGAGTAAAGGAAAGGGAAGTCCTTCAGCCACGCTACCCCCTTTCCCCCTGCCTCGCAGTTTGGATTGCGCTTCTTGGATTTCATTTTTATTTATTCTATTTATTTATTTATTGGTTCTTAAGACGCGAGGGGATGGTGGCGGAGCGCGCCCGCAAAGGGTCAGCCACCGGCACTCGCGGCCCTGGGGAGCTGGGCGCGCCCGGGACCGGGACCGGGACGGTGGCGTTGGCGGAGCAGTGCGCGAGGCTACCGAGCCCCGGGTGCTGCGGACTGCTGGCGCTGGCTCTGTGTTCGCTGGCGCTCAGTCTGCTCGCCCACTTTCGGACCGCGGAGTTGCAGGCCCGGGTGCTGCGCCTGGAAGCGGAGCGCGGGGAACAGCAAATGGAGAAAGCTATTTTGGGACGAGTCAACCAACTGCTGGACGAGGTTTGTGCCCTTTGTTGTTGGCGTTTATCCCCTCCCCGCGGCGCCCCTTCGCACAGTCCCGGGACTTCAGGAGCCGGTGCGGGCCGGTGCTTGCTTGCACGGTCACCCAGGTTGTCTGCACTGAGGGCAGCGACCGCGTTGGGCTGCCAGAGATCCAGAGCACCAGGCTGACATGCGCAGGACCTCCCAGCTCCGGGAGACCCCAGGATCTATCTCTGGGGGTGCCATGCGCGCGCTACCGTCAGGTGGAGGAAGGCAGAGCGCTTAAAAGGTGCACAGAGGCAGCCTGCGCTGGTGGGAAATAGGCTGGGGGGAGGCTTCCCGGGCTCTGGTGGTTCTCTCCACGAGGGTGAGTGCTGCCTGATTTTTAAAGTCACATTTGGAAGCAGGGCAAGCCATTTAAGGACTTAAAGGGACAATCCTTAAAGCAGATTGCTCACTGCTGGTCCGTGTTTTCTGCTCCAGGCCCCCCCCCCCCCCAGGGCCCAAATGTGAGCTGCCTGGCCCTATCCTCCTTTGGGTACCGTTAACCTTTGACTCTTCCGGCTGTGGCCGCTGGAATTGTCCTAACTCCTTCCCCTCAACTGGGAAAAAGATGTAGTTCTCTCTCACACACTTCTGGCCCCCAAATGTGCTCCATCCCAGGTAGAGCAAAAGTTACTAAAGTATCTCTTTGCTTGGGCAATCCTCAAAGTGCACAGCGCAGCAGTGGCATCCTCCCTAGGGAGGCGGGAAATGCAGACTCTAGTGGGGCGGGGTGGGGTGGGGGTGATCAGGAGGGAAAGCCGAGCGCCTCAATATGGAAAGAGCTGGTGACTTAAGAGAATCAGAACAGCACAGAGGACCCAAGGTCATGGAAGAAGGCCTGTAATGGTTCCCAGGGGGCAGGAGTGAGGGGTATCTCTTGCACAGTGGGAGGGGTGCAGGATAGTAACCAGCAGAGTGCTAAAAGCCAGTAGCCCTAGGTTTTTGTGTCCACACTGAGATTTATTTGGTTGCTGTGCAACCTGGGACAAATACGGTAACCTCTCTGAACTTACAGAATGATGGCAAGCATTAGCCAGGTCTAACAGGCTTTGGTCTCCCGTAGTTGGGTTTCTCTGGTGTGCTTCCTTTAAAGTTCCCTAGGTGGCCCCATGGGGGAAGTCATAGGCCACAGCATAGAGGGTGGCCCCATGGTCAAGTCCCTGCTGTGTGAGTGGTGTCCCATGTCTGCTGCTACAGCTCATTGCCGTGACTGGTCAGAGCTAAGAAGACTCACAGGCCACCCACAATCCCCTGGGCCTGGGGGCAGTCTCTAGGCTCTTGCTGGTTGGCTGAATGGGGAGGGCTCTGGCTACATTGTGGATACGGTTGCCATTCTCCCCATGTTCTCCCAACCCTTGCCAAGCCCTCCCTGCGCCGGGTCTCCAGTGCCCAGAACCTGTCCAGATCCCCGTTGTCTTTCTTGGGGTGTCCCCTGCTCCAAGCAGTAGCTTATGTTCACGCTGCTGACTTTAAGACCTCGGTCTGTAGAACTGGGTAGCACCCCAAAGAGGATCCGAAGTGGCCCCCATTTTACAGAGCGGGAAGGCTGAGATCTGGAGAAGGGTAGTAGGATGCTCAGGACCACAGGGTGACATCCAATGTTAGAGCCAAACCTCCCTACCCTGTACCTATACCTCTTCCCCCTGTGTCCTGCCACTGTTTGCCAAGAGCGAGCTGCAGGGGTGGGGGATGGGGAAACTGCCCTGGGAACACTTGAGTGGAACACAGAAAGAAAACGAGTAGGCACCGTATCATGTGGGAAACATTCCAATGATGGAGGAAAAGTTGCCAGGAAATGTGTTACATACGACATAGCGTAATACGTGTTACATATGACACAGTATAATGGTGGTGGCAATCAAAGTGGGCTTCCCGAGGAAGTGATTTTTTTAGGGCAAGATTTAAAGAGTGAATAGGAATTTGCCTGGTACAAGGGAAGAATCATCAGGCTTTGTTCTAAGATACACCCCCAGGGAACAGCTTCTGGTGTGGGGGCGACCAGAGGTGGGGTGGGGCTGCCTTGGGGCCGTGAATGAACCCTGGGGACTAGGGAGAGTGGCATGGGTGACGGCGAGGCTGGATGAGATGGGAAACCCAGATCAAGAAAGGCCTTAGAGATTGCTTGATGGGTAAAGGGCAGGTAGGGAACCACCGAAGGGTGGAATGGAAGGTGCTTAGTCCCTCCAGTGGGAAGGCGGATAGGAGGCTGCTGGGGACCATAGCCTGGAGTGGTGTTGGGGACAGGCCTGAGAGGACATAGTGGTTGCAGGGCTGGTGACACGTGGAGGCAGTAGTCGGGGTGTTGGAGGGAACTGTCCTGTCATGGAACTTGGCAAATACGAGGCCTGCAGTCTGGGGGCTGCTGGAGGGACACTCAAAGGCCACGTGGTCTCATGCAGTAATCACTAGCATATGTGACTTATTCTCTTGGCATTAAATAAAAATTGAACTGGAGTTCCTCAAGCACTTCAGTCTCACGGAAAGGGCTTGGCAGACTGGCTGGGCAGGCAGCAGATATGGTGACAGTCTCAAAACAGGTCCATATGGGGAAGCATCGAGCAGGCTAGGTCAGCCATGACTTTTGCTGATGTTACAAAAATAACTGGCCGGAAACAACGAAAGGCAGGAAGAAGGGCTTTCATGTTGGCTCATGGTTTCGGAGGTTTCAGCCCCTCTGGTGGGAGGGGCCAGGACAGTTCTTTCCCTGTGCCCCTCCTGTTACAGACTCAGGCAGGCTCTTCTGCCCCTACTTAACCCTCTCTAGAATGTTACACTCATGCAGGCTCTTCTGCCCCTAATTAACCCTCCCTAGAATCGCCCTCACAGACACACCCAGGGGTGTGCTTTGCTCATCTCCTGGATAATTCATTCACATTGATAAGATTAACCATTACAATGGGCAACTGTGAGGCCTGCAAAAGTGTCTCCAGTGCTACCGGACGGGGACACACACACACACACACACACACACACACACACACACACACACACACACACACACACACACACACACACACACACACACACACGAGTATGTGTGCACGTGCCCTCCTGTGGAGCCAGAATATAGCTCTGGGATTGAACTCAGGTCATCAGGCTTACTCAGCAGATGTGCTTACCCCCTGAGCAATTCTGCCAGTGCTCTCCCCTTCCTCTCTGCTTCTTTGCCTATACTTGGGAGAATTCCCCTGGGGAAAGAGACGTAGGACACATCCCTCTCCGGTTGCAATGATGATGATAAATATTGTTTGTTTGGTTGGTTGTTTGGTTTTTCGAGATAGGGTTTCTCTGTGTAGCTTTGGAGCCTGTCCTGGAACTCACTCTGTAGTCCAGGCTGGCCTCCAACTCACAGAGATCTGCCTGCCTCAGCCTCCCGAGTGCTGGGATTAAAGGCGTGAGCCACCACCGCCCCTTGATGATGAATAAATTTTGATTAAAAAATAAGGACTGAGTGAGGCATGACGTGTGTGTGTGTGTGTGTGTGTGTGTACATGTGTATGCGCAAGAGAGAGCGCGCTTGAGTGCAAGCAAGCATGTAGCTTTGTTTCGAAACAGTTTTGTGAAATGGCTGTGAGGTGAAGCCCTGCCCTTATGGTGACCCAGGGAGCCAGAGGGTTTAGGGATTAAATTCCCACTGCTATGTGACTCTAGTGAGTCACACCACCCCCTGCAGTTAGGTTTCTTCTCTGCTAGATTCAGGCTCCAGCTGCATCCAGGTACTGCTGTGAGAACCTCTGGAGGTGGCAGACAGCAAAATGTCGGAAGGGGTGGTCCACCAGCAGGGGGTAGTGATGCCAGCAGGGGAAGGGAAAGGCTCCAGGTTCCTGGAGTGGCAAGTCAGGGGAGCAGGTGAGCCTGAGCCCCTCCTTGAAGGAGTGAGGGACTTGGGGAGGGGCCCGTGCAATGGTCTGCCTGTTCCCTGAAATCCAGGGAGACGCCAAGCAGAGTGTGCAGAGGACAGAGACCAAGTCTGTAGGGCTGAGGAAGAGGTAGCTGGGAGGACAGGCCAAGCAGAGAGACCCAGTGTGAAGGACACTTGGGAAGAATCGAGCAAAGGAAGATTCGAGGGGGCCCAGGCACTGGTCGATGGGTCATCACCGAGTGAAGACCAGCCTGGGGACTGACAATGTGGTTTGACTCAGTGCCTCTCTCTGTCAGTGCCTCTCTGTGGGCTGAGACACTTAATGAGCACTCCAGCTGCCTGACAGTTGATTTCCTTGCTGTGAAGAAAGAAGCTGGAATGTCCCAAATGGAGAAAATCAGATGACACCTAGGCTAGGACTGGGCAGGAGGTGGGGGAGAGGGAGGAAGGGGTTGGAGGAGGGGACAGGATTGAGATTAAAAACAGCCAAATTCATTTTGGAGGCCCAGGACTAGAGGAGGGGGGTCTTGCAGCCCTGTGGACTCTGAGGGGAGGCCAAAGAGACTCCCGCCCCAGTTAGAATGCTGTTCCCAGTATCCTTGCTGCCATGGTCCCCTGGAGTGACTCATAGGCTGCACCAAGGCCGTACATATGATCAGGATGGCGTCTTCCCTCCTCCCTACTCCCCATTGGCTGGCACTGCCTTACCCCACTTTACAGATAAGGGGGCCAATGTCACTGAACCTCCCTCCCACTCTCTGTGACTCATTTCTTCCACCTTGGGGAATCCTTGGGAAAGGAAGTTATAGAAACTTCCGGGCCAAGATGTTGACAGAGTGAGGCGGACCCCCACACCCCTAAAAGACCAGTTTATGAGAATGCCTCGAGTCTATAGGGTATGTGCACAGGGCCCTTTTATTGGGCTGTTGAGAGGAGAGATCAAAGGAGAGGCAAAGAGACTGAGACACTGGGCAGTCGACTGAGGTGGGTCTGAGAGGAACAGGCTGTGTAACGGGGCGGCTTGCCTGTGCAGCAGCATCCTGGGTACGTGACAGCTGTCTGAACCTCATCCTCGGAAAGTAGACAGACCCTAGGTCCAGGCACCCTCAAA